TACAACGAACCATTTGGGCAAGAACGGACCATTAAAATAATTCATGCAACAGACATACTTTACGAATAAACTTTGAACATTCTATTTTTTCTAAAGGGCTGCACGATTTGATACTGTTCGTTCCGTATGTGTATGATATCATATAAGCATTTCATTTCTTCGTATTAGTTAAATTTTTTCATATCCGATGCATGTCAAAATGGGTGGCATTTTGCAGCTGCATTCGACTACATAATCATTTTGGTTATCTGGAACTAGAATTTCATTACGTTTCAGAGTTAAATCGCCGAATTTGCAGACAGCGTCTTCCTTTTCCTCCTTTTCTTCTTTTGACCTTGAACTCAGATCAATAGCGTCTTTTTTAGAATTCGCTGTGAAATAAATTGGCATTAAGGAAATGTAAATTTGCAATACGAATAACAAGATCAAACTTACGGCATTTCACTTCATATGGACAACAATTTCTTCGATGGATAATGGGAACACACCCAGATTGAATGTCAGAAAAGAAATCAATTGCAGAGACGCATTTTATTTCTTCACAATTTGGATTTTCAGACGGTATTATGCTATTATCAAAATCCTCCGTGCATAGACAAGTGTAGCACTCGTCGTTTTGTAGTTCCATGACTTCATTGAGACGATATGTTGTACCTTCCATTTCGCAAGTTTTTAATGTATCTAGTTGGTCTGAACGACAAAAAAAACATTTGATCATACATTCATCTACATGAAATAAGATTCAATTGAATGGTTTCTCACCGCAAATGATTTCCCCACAGCATTTTCCGAGATCTGAGTACTGTTGTATACAATCCCCAATATCTTCATCTCCGCATTCCATTAAAACGCAATCAAACGTTGCTTTTCCAATCTTTTCAGTGCAAATACATTGATATATGCATTGTCCCTCCGTTTCTTCTTCATTGATTGATTCGCCAATGTCATAAAGTCGGTTCTTGAAATAACATTTTTTCGGATAGCGAGCTTTTTCACGTATATTCAAAAATTCCGAACAATCGAAACTGTGAAATCATTGAAATTTGAAATATTGAAGAGAAAAAACGTGAATACATGGAAAATATATAAAATTCAAACGGAATTTGAAAATGATAATTTTTAACAAAACAATTAGTACGTTGGTAACCCGAATTGTCGAAGGAAGAAGTTTTTTTCGACTTTAAAAAAAATCCCTTTTTTTCGTCAATTTTGCACTGAAAACAACAAGAAAAAAGGGCAATTCTGGACAAACTATCGGAGTATGATCCTATTTTTTTTTGTTTTCATTCATTCAAAATATTTTGTGAATATGTTTAAAATCATTGACAAATCGGGTTAACCCTTTGACGACCAAAACTGAACGGCTGGGAATTTTGCAATTCTGATTGCAGATTCGTGCTCAGCGACCCCAAAAATATTAACAAAAGTGTTATCAAAAATTAATTTTTTTAATTGCAAATATGAAAAAAATGATGGGACATATGTGTCCCATTGGTCGGTAAAGGTAACTATTTACCTTTATTTTTCTATGAAAAAAACATGTCTCCCATAAGAACTACGTGTAAAATCTTTTCCATTTTTTAAATTTATAGAATCGTTTTAAACCAAAAATGGTTTGAATCATGCTTTGTTGTGCCCATTTAATCACGAATTTAACGATCTTTTTGTAAATTTGTGTGTTTCAAAATTCGCGAAAAGTGGTTGAAATACAGGGAAATCAGTGGTAATTATTTACCTTTACCGACCAATGGGACACATATGTCCCATCACGCCAAAAGCAATAAAAATTTGATACAAAATTTTTTGTAGAAAAGGCGATTATCCTCAGAAAGTAACAGACACTCCGTACAACATTTCCAATTTTCAGCTTTAAAAGTTGTACCCTTCAAATTATATAGGGTTTGGCGGAATTTGAAAAAAAAGATTTTTCGACTTTGAAGTGTTCTATTTGAGCACAGTGATGTAAAATATCCAATATTATGGTACTTTCTGGTAGCTACATTCATTCTCTTTCAAAAGAAACCAATTTTATCGAAATCGGTCTAAAAATGTGGAAATTATTGACGAAAAACAAAATGGGGCATATGTGTCCCAAAGGTCGTCAAAGGGTTAATATGCAAATATTCACGTATAAATACACTAAAGGAATCAAACATTATAATTATCATTATCACTTATTCACAGCTTCTAACCTTGATTTGCAAATGTCATCTTCATTATTTGCAACACAGCCAAAGTCTTTGTAAAATTTTTGCATTTTTTCACAAGGCTTTTCTCTTAAATCCGATGGAACTATACATGTGACGAAAAAATACACCAGATAAATTTGAATCACTTTTAACATTTTGATGCTTTCACTTTGGTTGTTCGGAAAAGACTAAATTCTGAACATACAAGCTATTGATATACTGTATTGATAATATGTACAATTGACGTGCTTCTTGTACCTGAGGTGATAGTATTCTGGAATCATAAACCTACACCTTTGAATGCAACTCACTTAACATTTGTTTATTTACTCAATACACACAAATGTGAATGTTTTGTGAATCGTCAAAAATAAATCACGTAGCTATTGCATAATCAGCAGTAGTTACCAAAACAATTTTCTAGACGTGATCTAAGGTAATATTTCAAATATGACAAAATACTAAAATCATATAAATATAGGTCTTAGCTGATCGAAATTTCATTTGCATTGATACAAATAATCTGTTGAAATGTTTTGCGTTAATATTCTAATTTTTTTTCTTTTTTTTTTCTTGCGACAATTGTAGTGCAAATTCCAACTTTCGTGATGGACCCATTTGGCCCAACAATCTGGTGATCTTCAACATAAGTGCGAAATTCAACAATGAGGAGAGAAAAATAATCAACACGACATTAGGACACATTATGAGGGACACGTGTATTGTGTTCAAACAACGGACAAGTGAAAAGGCATTTGTCCAATATGAGGTAAGATATTCATTGTTTTTTTTTCTACTTTTCATGCACTTGTACATACGCCAAGTAATTTTTTTTTAATTTTTCAAAAAGCCAGGTACATCGTGCTCTTCGCCAGTCGGATTTCAAGGAACGGCGCAAACTATAATGCTGACTACAAAGTGCTTAAATGATGGAAATATAATGCATGAAACCCTACATGGTAAGTATCGGCTATTGTTAAATATTCCAAAGATGAAAAAATATTCAAATAACTTCACTTCTTTTCAGCGTTAGGATTCGAGCACATGCACAAAGTTCCAAACAGGGATTTATATTTATTTTTATCAAAAGAGGGTTCGAAATTGAAAACAATTAGAGTTGTCAAGGTAAGTGAAAAATCAGTTATTGGCAGACTAAACGTTCTTAGTCAAATGAAATTGAAAAAATGAATTGTTCTATTTGTTTTCAGGATGTACAGTTAACTCTATACAACGGAAATCCCAAACAAATCGGGCAACGTAAATGGATGAGTCCACTCGATATCGAGAAAATAAACCACTATTACACATGTGCCAGATATCCAAGCACAATTAAATTCGACAATGCATGAAAAATGTGATTGCTCATCTTTGCAAATTTATTTTATTTATTCGATAAATCAACATATATGTAATGCAATCTTATTTTTCAATCAAATTCAAAGCAAAATATTGAATTAAACAATGCATGCTCAGGTTTTTATTCACAGTTTTCGTTATCGCCTCTTGCTAAAGACACTTTTTTCATTTTGTATTGTTGCTTATCTGAAAACCTGTAAAATTTTATTTACGTTTTCATTCCTTTTTGACGTTGTTTTGATACATTTTTTATCAATCAACACGTACCAGTATAGTTCTAATTATCAAATTTAAGTGCTAATTATATTAACAGAACCAGAGTCTCATTAAATTTTCTTTTGTTCATGCAATCAACTTTTTTTGACTTAGTAGCAACAGTTTTCGTATATGAGTATGAATATTTGATTATTTACTGCAATTTTCAGTTCGCAATTAATAACAATTTCCAGCTAGGTGCAAAATGTTTATATAAAATGATCAGCCAGAAGACTTTTATTTGATTTAAGAAAATACTGTTGGTATTTGTATACAACTAACAAACGATAGAAGTCAATTAATGCGGATGCAGCAATTATCAATGGTCATTTTCATTCTCTAAAGGAGTTTCGTGTTGAAGATCGAGAACGACCGGCAAACCAACCGAATATTTGCAAGCTTTACATTGAACATCCCCATTGCCTTACATTTGAGGTTTAGTTATGGTGAATGGTGTCACTTCATTTTTGATGTCATGGAATTTTTATCGCATAATTAAGATTTGGTAGCTCTACGGATGCTGAAAATGGTAATATACAGGAAGTAACATCGCCCAAAAATTCACTTTAAATCGATGCAGATATTTCAACTAAACGAACGAAAATACTATGATTTCCCATTTACATTTGAAAAACTGGCTCTGATTCAACTGATGGGAATTGAATTTCATGCGAGATCTATGGAAAGCATCTCGCAAAATAATGTTCTCAAATATTTGCACTATGAGCCAAGTACAGGTATAAGTCCCGATGAACTCCTGTAATGCATATTTCTCCTGCGAATCTTCACCGAAAAATTGGATTTAATAGCAGATAAAATTGTCACTAATGATTTACAACAATTGCAAAATAAACGACTTAAACTTACACCTGAACATTGTTCAGGTGTTCAGTGAACATTACAAGGTTCGTGGTGGCTCTTTCAAATTAAAAGAATTGTTTCGGGTGAGGCCTAAATTGGCTGGTATATTGCGATAACAGCGCGGGGAAAAAGTCAATTAACTTGCTTGTTATCAACGAAATCATCCTCAAGTATTGCAACTTTCTCATTTCAATAAATCGGTTCGTAGGTTCTTTCCATTAGATTCACAATTTTTTCGCCAGGGAAAAATAACTCGTCGTCGTAATTAGGTCTATCTATAAATTTTTATGTAATCATCGATAATTTGTTCACTCGCTGCGGTTGTATCGATTCTCACATTTGCATTTTCAATATTTTAAAGTTTGAAACTTGTCAATTGTCTACTGTTCTTCATTTCAAGTGCTCCCAATTTCCACAAATAAACTCAAGTAAATCGACTTGGGCATGTACAAAATTAGGAAAGACTCAATCGTCAAAGCGAACATATCAAATACGTAAGATGTTGCTATATATGCGCTCACTTACACACTGCCTCTTCGTTGTCTTGTCGATAAAAGTGGAGCTGTTGGGAGCATACCTACTACACGCTTCATCGGCGTATCATAAACAAGTTCTATGTAGATGCATCATTTTTCATACGTCCAATTCAAATAATCAACTCAACGCTCAGTGCTCAATCTAATTTACAGATGACTGAACTTTTGAATCATTTTCTTATCTAAATATTAACATTTGAAATATGCATTGGGCAATAATAACAACGGCAACGCGAGGGGGAAATCACTCTTTAAATTACTTTTCAATTACTTCTTGGCACACTATTACTTCAGTAAATTACGAAAGTAATTAGACGTTTATGCATGGATTATTTTAAGAATTTTTTAGAACGGACCAGAATTTCGAAAAAATACAAGGGGTGTTTTTTAAATATT